ATTTGGTGTTGGGCCTCATAAAGACCCAAATTTGCCCTATTTTTTTATGATAATCATTTTTTATTATGTTTTGTATGAATATTCTATTTAGTACAAGTGTATATTCAAGTGAACAATACGAATCAGCAAAAATTATAACCCTTACAGCTTTAGAAATGTCAAAGACAATAATAATACAGCAGAATTCTTAAATCTTTACCATTAAAGTAATGTAGATAAGAAAAATCTGCTATAGTAAATTTATTATACTTTGTACCAGGTACTACCTTAAAATGAATTCTGTATACAAATCATTTGTCATTAACAGTTACTGTCAATATTTCTAATAACTAACATACCCAATTTTCTTTTGTACTTACAATGCCATTTGTCAGCATAGTCAATGATTAATGATTTCTTAGGTGACATACATTGTAGGCTTTTTACTCATAAGTTTTCGACTTTTCTACTTAAAGGATTGCCAACAGATATAATAATACCATCCCAGCTAGAATTCCCTAACTTATTAAATGTTCATGTAGATATTTTTGATCTTATAGTGTGTTTACAGTTCTTTGACCCTTTTTTTTAAGTCTCTGAACGCGTCTAGTTAACCTTAAGCTGCTTTAATTTGAAGGTGGCTTAAAACCCTGGCTAAAATGAAGCCAGATAAGTCAAGACTGCATGTGTGCATTCATCCAAACAAATTCTCACTAGTACTATTATTATCATAATGCGCATGCACAATAATATTGTGACCTCTGAACCTTCCACCAATTTCCAAAGTAATGTCAACACTGGCTTGACTTTTTAGTCCGAATGAACACTCATCAAAAAACTCTATACCAGTCTCAAAAAATGGTTGATAGTGAAGTTGCCTTAAATTTAGTCGTCTGAACGCACTATTAGATGCCAGAGAAATGTCCTTACTGACTATATAGATTACAGGGTATGATAGTCAAAGCCTGGTTAAACATTCACAGATATTAGTGTTGGTGGTACATGTGAGATGACAATGCCAAGCTTTCAAATGACATATAGATGAAATATGTATGAATGATACAATGTATCTAGTGCCTTGAAATATGGAAACATTATTCTAAAAAATAAACATCAAACATGACAGACAAAGTTCAAAACCTTGAAAACATACAAGATTTATTTATATCATGATTTACTTTTAGTACATGATATATATCTACATAGTTAAACCTGTAATTCTTGTTAAACCAAGAAGTACAAATTTGTACTAATGGACACTTTTTCATCAAACATGAGTGCATTATCTATAGAATTTCATATGAAAAACTAGGTTGTAAACACCTACATTTTTCACTCATATACCTAGCAAGTTAATAATGAATACCAAGTTGTGTCAACAAACTAAATGAATTATAACTCAGATTTAAAGTGGTAAATTTAATAATAATTCCAGCTCATATTAATGATGTTACCAGTACTTTAAAAAAACAAAAAAAACCCTAGCTCAAATGAATGGTGGTACTTCAAAAATAAACCCTAGCTCAAATCAATGGTGGTACTTCAAATAATAACACTAGCTCAAATCAATGGTGGTACTTTAAATAATAACCCTAGCTCAAATCAATGGTGGTACTTCAAATAATAACAATAGCTCAAATCAATGGTGGTACTTCAAATAATAACAATAGCTCAAATCAATGGTGGTACTTCAAATAATAACCCTCGCTCAAATCAATGGTGGTACTTCAAATAATAACACTAGCTCAAATTCTAATTGAAATTAAAGGTAGTTTGTGATAATAATTCTAGCTCATACTAGGAGTGGGAATTGAAAAGTATCTGTTGTAATTTTAAGATAAAAGAGTAATAAAGAATAATCTAATACAAGATAAAATTCAGACATAGATCAGTTACTAATTGATTATAATCTCTATTAATCTATAACTCTTGTATTATATACTGAGATTTGATTGATAGCAAATCTATAAGTTGATATTTTAATTGTCTAACTGCTACTATTAAACTCTGAAATATTCAGTCCAAAGGCTAAAAGCCAGAATTTGTTTGTTTAGCTGTTTCAATTTAGCTTTGCAACATTTTGATATTCCAGAATATACACCTAATAACTATTAGAATTTATAGAAAGATTTAGAGGAGACATTCCAAATTTTTTTTTCTTCATTTCACACCTTCTAATTAATGCCCAAATCTGTGATGTGAATAAAAGATATCATATGTCTATATAAAGGCATAAAAATAGCCGTCTGTGTTATTTGACTGATATAAAGGTCACTACACCTTTCTTTACCTTACCTATATCAAACACATACCAAATGAGGTCATGGTGCTCATCTTTTACCTAATACTACTTCATCTACTTTTATGGCAAACAAGGTTTGAAACAAGGATACCTACTTTCACCCCCATTCATTATAGTAAGTGACAAAAGTATGAGAAATGTATTGACCTCATTTTAATATCTGTGCATTATGCTCAGATTTAGGGACGTCGAAATTTGAGCCTTCAAAAAGTGTGTCAAGAAATATCTGCATTTGAATGTTAAAATGGCGTATTTTTAAAGAAATTGTGTAATTTTCATAAATTTCTAGTACTTCTGAAGACTATATACATATATTCAAGACTAAAATCAACCCCCCTAAATGGCACAACTATCCCTTTAAAACAGATTGGCAGTGAAATATTGTGCCAAGGTTAAAATACATTAAATTTATTATGTTTAAGTTATTAAAACAGGTTTTAGCAAAAACTGCACCTTTAACGCATAGAAAATTTCAACAACGACAACTTTCTTTTTGTCCATAAGAAGATTCTAAGTAAACATTGAAAGTTTAGAAGTGATTTAAAAAGATTACTCAGACAGATCCGAGGGAAGGACTAAAACTTTTTTAGGTCACAGTAAAAGTCTTTTATTGTTATTTACTTGTTTCGTTTCTGGAGTAATTCAGTAAATATCAAAGGTCCACTTAATAGTTTACCTCCCAAATATTCCCTCAGGTGTAGTGACACTCAACTAGTAATTCTATCAAGTTACGAAAAAAATGTCAAAAGAAAATGTCAATGACAAGGTGACAACTCAAATCCAATTACTATACTAGTTCAAATCCACTCAAAAATAACCTCAGAATTATACATCCAGTGCAAAAACAAATGTAGACATTGGTCAGAAACATAGAGCCATAAGCTTATTATTAGATTGCTGCAAGGTGTTTACTGACTAGAAGTAGAATTACAAAATAAATTCAGTGTAATTGAGGCTTACTGTGCATACATTGAAGACATCAGGGGGCATTCATCAGAAATGGAGAAACATTTAGTTTCTAGGAAGGAGTTAACTGACTAGAATTAGAAATGATAGAGAGTTTTACACCCTTTTTTCAGCACCTAATTGGGCTAATGAATTCAGACAAAGACACAGGGATTTTTAACTTGATCCCAGGATCTTTATGTTAATGAGCAAGCACCATACTCACTGAGCCACCACAGCTCCCTACTCTTCTATATGTAAAGGTTTTCTATTGGGGACAATCATATATATACATATGTATAAATGTATGTATATATGTACATTACAGCCAGGTAAATATTATATTTATTGTGTATTTCAGTTGCAAAGTTATAGCTATATTTAAAATGATATGACACAATTATAGAATATAGGCATTCTAGATACCAGCTGTTACATTCATTGGTCCAGAACATAAAGCTCTATTTACCAATCAATACTATATGCATTTCAAATTCCTTTCTTCATTAACAACAGGTTTCCTCAAAAGAAGTGCAACATAACTAAAGAATACACCAAAGGCAACATATTGATCTATTATGCCCTTTTTCTACCAGGACTCTTTGAAAGTGATGCAGTCTACAATGCAGTCACAGTGGCTTGGACTATTTTGGAAAAGTCTTGAATTGATAGTGATACCCAAACACCCATACCAGTAAATATGAAGTTTAAATATATCCAAAAGCACAATTACTTCAAATTCAAATTCTTGATGGGTATACTACCTCTTTTCAATTTTTTAACTTGGCCAAATTCATTAGACTAAGTAATTTTATGCTTAGAAACTTGCTTCAATAATTATTTAGTTTAATAGATATCATCTTATATAGAGATTCTATTCTTAAGTCATGGCACCTGATCCAACTGATGAATATATATACTCTTGTTGTTGACATTGTCTTAAGGTGCGGGCTTCTCTTGAGTTTCAACGACTGCCACGGGTAGACAAAAAGGTTGTTTTCCACAATGTGTATAATCACGTGCAGATGTGCAATTGAAAGGAAAATGGATCTGATTGGATGATGACGGTCTGTCTTGCAGACAATAAAACTATTGGAGACAATTATCAAACTTGTTTGATATTATAAATTCTGTTGGCGGCAAGTGCACACGCAAGATTTTACTCAAGATTCGACAAAGACGGCTTGTCAGCCCGCATCTTTAGTAAGACAGTAACTTCAGCTCCAAGTGGTCGCTTGAGCAGATCTACAGCCAACAACCTTCACCTTCATCAACAAATAAGTTTATCTTTCAATCTTGAAATGAGATGTTTTATGGTAGATATATTTAAATTTAAGACATCCAACTGAGAGTAAATATTGTGTTATTTTGATTAAACCTACTATATGAATGTCAGTGTTATTTACTAACATGTCCTGTTAGAAGGTCATTGCTAAATGTTGAAAATCCTGGCTACACCTTTTGTAAACTTCAAAATCATTCCTACAAAAATAAGCATCTGCAGATTCCATCTTTGGACACTGCATAAATATCGCTATGTGCAAACTCTCTCTTCCCCAAAATCTAAAATTCTAATTTTTATCAATTTGTACCTCTATAATGATTTATCAGTTTTGCCTTTATGATTAATGCTTTAAATGAAATCATACACAATTCCATACAGATCTGTTATCATGGAAAATCCTGAAACTATGAAATTGATTGTTAATTATTTTTTTGAAAGTACACTGAAATACAAAGAATTGAAAATTGAAATATTTTGAAAATGTCTTACCTTGATCAGATGTTTGTTCACCCATTTTGTAAATGTTTTCTTCTGGACTGCATCTCTTTGATCTGAAATGTAAATATAAAATTTGAAAATCAAAAAATTGAGAAATGTGGTCAAAATTGTGTGAGTGACACTCTTTCTTCATATTTCTATCCATGTAACACAACCTTAAAAGGATCGTAAAGAGGCATAGGGGACATTGATAGCATCATTTTGCACCATTCCCATTTTCAGATATCTGTGGTTCCTGTAATTCCACTAAAACTAAATGTTTGATGACGTCACTAATCGCTAAATATCCTTTATGACATATGGTCATTCATGATTAGTGACATCTGAAAATTGGAATGGTGCAAATTAATGCTTTCAGATTCCCTGATAATTACCTTTCAGAAAACCTCTTTACAATTCCTTCAACTATAACATTTTTATTTCTTCAAGAGGTGTCATTTAATCAAAAATTACAAGGACAGATAGTATTGTTGTATCATTCTAATGTTTCTTTAAATTCAAATTCATTGTTTTAATGACAATAACATTTTTGGTGTGATATAGTTTTGTATTGGAATTTAATAAGTAGCAAAAATTCTTGAACATAGAAGTACAAATTTGAAATAATAATTGGATTAGTCATTTCAATTTAATTTAACTAAACATTATAAAAGCCTTGCCACTTTAAACCTAATTATTTGGCAAAATAATATTTGGAATGAATTCAAAGAATGTTGGCTATTTATCACAAATTCCTGATGCAGAATTGACATGGTGGAGTGGATTAACGTAACATTTCTTCATAGTTAGACTGCTAGCCATAACTTACAAACACTGCATGGATGTTCCTTTTTAAAGCATAAATTTAAATATCATTGATAAAAGCATAAATTTATGATTTCTTTATTCAATGAAATACAATTTTGTATGCCAAAATGAAATACAATTTTGTATACCAAAATGAAATACAATTTTGAATGCCACATCATTTGGCCACAAAATATTTACATTTCTTCATAGTTAGACTGCTACACTGCATGGATGTTCCATTTTTAAGTTTTGACAGATATTTCAAGGATGAATTTAAATATCATTAATAAAAGCATAAATTTATGATATTTTTATTCAATGAAATACAATTTTGTATGCCACATCATTGGCCAAAATTTTTTTTTTAGTAATTTCAACATTGGATGTAATCTGTAATTTAATATCTGCATTTTTGATCTGATTTTACATTTTCATTTCCTACTTGCTGACTTGGAAACATATGCTTCAAGAGAAAATCCAAGTGGAATAACTTTACATTTCTTAACCTATGTCCAGCTTATAGCCGTCTTCACAATGTCAAGCTATTACAAACTTTGTGAAGTTCTATAGCACAGTCAGTTAAAGCATTGGTTCTTTACATGACGTCATTTGTATGGTTATGTCAAGCAAATGGAAAGTCTAATGAACTTGAATTAGTCATCTTCACTCATAATTCCAGTCGACCCAGCTGTAAATCGGTACAGAAAATCCAAGAAAGATCAACTAAAGAGGTTTGGTCAAGGACCAGCTGGTAGAAAGGATCCTTTACTGTGAACCTAAGTAAATATTGTTCTTTCTTTCTTTCTTATTACATGGACTGCAATAGTCTTGCTTACATCATGAGGAATGTAAAAAAAAAATTGCGAATACATATATAAGTCCTCTACAGAAATTCTGTAAACAATAAGTTATAATGTTTACTGTCTGTCAAGGAGAGTAATTGGCTGTATTCACTGGAGTATAAGTATAATCTAATCAAATTGCTGCATTCTGTGATTCAAGAAAGATGGCTATTGCAGACAAGGTTTATAAGATTAAGTTCATAAAAGCTTGACATTGTGATGATGGTTTATGGCCAGACCCTAATGTAAAGAAGTATTAGTCACTATGCCTTCATAGCTTCATTAGAAATTTCATTTGTAAAATAGTATGTGGAAATGGGTTTTAAAACAAATTATGGTATATTTTTTTTATATAAACTTCAAATAATAGCTTTTCACTTCAATAAACTCAATGATTTACCCTCTAAGAAGTCTACACAAAAACAAACTGCTGTCTCATCACATTTATTCTATCAATAACTAACCATTTCATCTTAGTCTAGCTCATGTCATTATTAATTGAAATATATTGGAAAGTGTTGAATTTAGCTGATAGGAACATTCAGAGATTTATCTAGAATAATTTCAGGTCAGAGTTATGTCTTGTTTCCCCAAATCAAATTATTGTGATGCAATAATATCCAATTCCTAAATAAATATACATTCGTTCCCATTCTTAAGGAAGTGGTTGAAATAAAGCTTCTACCAATAAATATGATGTATAAGCATCTATAGTGAACACCCCTTCATACCCTTAAGTAAATCTGGTAAAATCTGTCACTGTAAATAACACGTTTGGACGAACAAATCTAGGGTTGACATTAAAGGGACGGGTGGGCCATTCTTTTTGACTAATCATACCTTAGTCTCAGTAAAAGGGAATTTTTTAGCTAAGTTAAACAGCAATTTAGTGTTCACAGTTCATGGTGAAAATTGAACCTTCAAATCCATGTGTGTCAAGAATTATCCACGTTTGAATGTTAAAAAGACAATTTGTCATTCTAAGATACTCTGTGATATATAGAAAAGATATATATAGAAATAATGAGTCAAATTTCTAGTTTGAAATATTTTTGCAGAAATTATGCGATTTTTGTACATTTCTAGTACTTCTGAAGACTATTTACATATATTCAAGACTAAATTCAACCCCCAAAAATTGCGCACCTGGCCTTTCAACATACATTGAGAAGTAATATTATATGTTCCTAGACTCTAGCTACTAAGGTCTATATATATCAATTTTATTATTTGGCAACAAGGACAGTAATTCAGGGTAAAGCACTTGAAAATAATTTTTTTTCATATTTTTAGAATATACCAAGTTTTCTCAAAACTGGTTGAAAACTGCAGATTTTAAGTTATGTAGTAGAAAATGAGAACAGATGGATAGAAGGATAGTGAACTAATAGCTGTTCTTGTTTGAAAAAAAAAAAAACAATTAGATGACCATATCTCTATAAGCCAGACTAATATTTAAAGTTATTGAGTTGAGAGAAGATAGACTGAAATGGAAGTAAGAAGGATAAGAACAAGGTGACATTATATATAGTGGTCAGTATAAACATTATTGACTGCTGGTCATATTGACATTCCTTTATATATCTTTCACTTTACATCATTTTACCATTAGAGATTGTAAATATAACCAATTCTAGATATATCTTGACGATATCTCATCTCATGCAGCCTACACATTCGAAACAAAATCCTCAGCAAATCAGCTAATATTGAAACTTATATGGTGTAGGATCAAATAACCAAACTCATTTACAGGCCAATTTATCAAATATGTAACAGAAAAACTTCAAGACCACCTGTGACAAGTCAAAGAATGATATGTCTAAGGTCTATCTGACATACATATACCATTAACAAAGTTTGATTTTATTAACACCATCTAAGGAAAACTCAGAAATTTATTTAATTTAATGACATTGTATCTGCTCTAATCTAGGAAATAAATTTGATATAAACATAAGAAATGGTGTGAATTTAAAGTTAAGAATATGCCATTAAACAGACTGCACGCAATCAATAAAGTCATTAAATAGTGAAATTCAAGAAAGAAAAGATGTCAAGCTGAACACTGAATTCAAACAGATGTCAGACTGAACACTCAATTAAATAAAATGACAAGCTGAGCACTGAATTCAAAAAGATGTTAATCTGAAAACTGAATTCAAAAGATGTCAAGCTGAGCACTGAATTCAAAAGATGTCAAGCTGAAAACTGAATTCAAAAGATGTCAAGCTGACAACTGAATTCAAAAGATGTCAAGCTGACAACTGAATTCAAAAGATGTCAAGCTGAGCACTGAATTGATAGATGTCAAGCTGAGCACTGAATTCAAAATATGTCAAGCTGAACACTAAATTCAAAAGATGTCAAGCTGAGCACTGAATTCAAAATATGTCAAGCTGAACACTGAATTCAAAAGATGTCAAGCTGAACACTGAATTCAAAAAGATGTTAATCTGAGCACTGAATTCATAGATGTCAAGCTGAGCACTGAATTCAAAAGATGTCAAGCTGAGCACTGAATTCAAAAGATGTCAATCTGAACACTAAATTCAAAAGATGTCAAGCTGAACATTTAACTTCAGGTTGAGTAATAGATGTCAAAATAAAACTATCAAGGAAATCATAAAATCATAATCTTTGATCTGCATATTTGTTAATGTCATAATTTCTATTTGAAGAAATGACCTTTTATCAGATTAATCAAATGATAGAAACTGAAATGATCTTTAGCAAAAGACCTGTTCATTCACAATCAAAATAACAGATAGACACAGTGTAAGTGTCTCTCTGAATTTCAGTTTGATGTTATGACTATATCATCAAGAATTCAAAACAAAGTAGGTAATGTATGCAATGTAAAATATGTAGTTGCTGTCAAAACTTTTTTTCTATGATTAAAGTTATGTTTTACAGTTTTATGACAGTGTCTCTATGTATGAAATATGTAAAGTGAATGAATATATTGGTCTATTAAAGCGTTAAGTCAAGTGTTAGTGTTAATAGTCAATGACCATCACATCAGAGTGTTATTGTAACTGACCGCTGTCACCTTAAACTGTCATTGTTTAAAAGCAGGACTATGTCCAGTCAGCCATGAGATAAACAATTTTTAATTTGAATCTATATTTCATTGATATAGAGAGGGAGGGTCCTGATGAATGTATTCATTCAATCATACTAAAACCTTATATATCAAAACTAATGATTTTAAAGGGACAGATGTGCCATTTTGAGGGGTTGATTTGAGTCTTGAATAGTCTTCAGAAGTACTAGAAATGTATAAAAATCGCATAATCTTGGACACACATTGACTTGAAAGCTCAAATTTCGACAGTGAGCTTTGAACACTATTACTGATTGGTTTAGCTAAAAAATCCAATTTCTGAGACTAAGGTAAGATTGGTCAAAAAAATGGCCCA